CATAACAAGATAAGTGAGCATATAGGCGATGCTATTCTTCAATGTTCGTATTGATATGAAATTGAAAAGATTGGGTCTAACAATAAGAAATTAAAAGGCACATAAAACTTTTCTAAATAATGTACAAGCTAGCAAGACTATTTTCTCAAGGTATTATATTTTCGAAACTTCCAAGCATAACAGAGCTCATTCGAAATCAACCTTCTTTAAGGAAAAACAGAGCTTCATTGGCTCTATTCAGTGCTATACTTGGTTTTGAAAAAAACTAAACATTTAATGAGAATATAGTTGATAAAGATTGACAACTTGAATCACTTTCTCTCTTTACCTAGACGTCCTTTTAGATAGCTCCTTATACAAATAATTCCAAGAAAATTTCGATGAAAAATGTATTACAAGACCCGCGTCTTCTATTATGAATTTCATATCATATTCCAAAAGGGGTCTTCTATTACGGGGGGGGGGGGGGTCTTGTAATATAGGGGATCTTCTATTACGAGAGGGGGTTTAGTGCCTGATGAATGCTCGAAAGTATTACGATACATACTAGAAAGTCTGTTCATTATCCATGGCAAAGCGAACTGAACATGATCTGTCCATTAGGTGGCGATCCTGAACGGTTCTATGGTCACCCGTATAATACAGACTATTTCCGACATGTTGCATTTCCACAAAGCTCCGTCAATTCAACAGCGATTCCTGGTGTTTCGAGCATGATGACAACACTTTAATATCTGCTTTATGTTCGTAGCATAAGTGACTATACAACATGAACTACAAGTTCTCTATTATTAAAGAATTAGATGTTTCATAAAGATGTTATATCAATAAAACTAGAACCCTATGTAAACGCCTATAAAATGTAAACCACTCTTCACGTTCAAGACTTTAGCATCATAACATACAGGTCATCAAATCAAAAGTAACATATAAAATTCCTAATCAGAATCTTCACAGAAAAAGCATATAACCTATAGCCCTGAAAACCTTACCATCCAATCATTCTAAGTAAAATGAAACACTCTGCTTCTTCTTTTCCCACTTTAAGTTTGACTTTTGCGTTCCTTAGTCCTTCTGGACCGACTGAACGAAATTTCTTAGCTATTCGATTTAAGCCATCTGATGAGACCCTTTAAAAAAGGTCGAAATCGCGATCATGGCTTCTTCACTCGTCCTCACCCTCAAGATTACGCCATCAGGCTAGCCATCTAAGTTACCAAATAGAACCATCGACAAACAACCATTATTAACATACAGGACAACTAATTGAGCTCAGAAAAATCATATCATTTCTTATAAATTCAATGTAACTCTATCTCTTCTATCTATTCACAATAGTACTCTAATGTAGCCTATAAGATTCAGAACATACCTGATGATGAACCCCTAAGCAAGGTTCGAAACGCGCTGTATGCTGCTTTGAATCTAACTTCTGAAACTCATCTTTACCCCACACCCTCACCCACACCCACACCCACACTCCCTTTCATCACAATTTAAAAATTCAGCTTGAGTTTTGTATGCTTCAGGTATGTAATATGATCCACGAAATTCTGGATATTTGTATAATAAACTAATGAGAATATAAAACATCTGTTCGTTTTGTTTTTCTTTTTTTTCAAATATAACTGACTAAGCAAACGTTTTTATTCCCAATTTATCAATTTTTTTTACATCAGGCCATGTTTGCTTTATTTGTTGAGCAACAACATCAAAATTGGAAGCATTTGCATTTGATGGTGTTGTTGTCGATGTTGAAGTTGAGCCTGCATAACCTATTGTTACTGTAAATATGAAGTATACTATATCTTAGTTTTGTAAGTACCTGAAAAAGACAGGAAAAGAAATTTTATAATTTTGAATTGTATTTGATTAGATTGATATGTATGTATGTTTTAAGAGTGATCATATAGTTTTATGCAGGACAAAGATTTCTTTGTTTTTTCAAGCTAAAATAGTCTATAAGTATAGATATTCGGAATTATAGATTTATTTCATACTCGAATAGTCGAATGAAAAAATTATTTAGTTAGAAAAAAGAAAACAATAATAGAATTTCTTTTTTCTTTGTTAGTTGTTTAACCACAGAAGACATGATAATACTTTATGACTGTACTCGATTAAGAGACAAAAGTCTCTGCAATAAAATTATGATTTACAACAAGATAGAATTTTGAAACCATGATTGTCAATAAAAAAAAAGGTTTGTTAGTACAATCCTTATGGGATTAAAATTTGAACTGTTTCTTTGCTTGATCCCATTTATTTTGGTATAAATTGATTTATCCATGTAAGAATGTAATAAACAAATAATTCATATAGTCTCCGAAAGCTGTCTGCAAGGCACAGGTCCGAATTTCTATCTCTATACAGTTTAACACTCTTATGAGAATTCTATATTGTTTTAGATGTCAACAAAAGAACTTTGTATACATTTAACAGAACTTCATGCAAAATCGTTATTGAATGATAATGATACATTTTTGTTTGATTGCGATGGTGTTCTTTGGAATTTTCCTCATATCTTTACAGGTGCAGTTGAATTATTAAATTATTTGACAGAACAAGTATGAAAATAATTTTTTTTTCTTTGAAAATAATTTGAAATTTTTTTTCTTTATAAAGGGTAAACGATTATTTTTTGTGACAAATAATTCAACGACAACACAAGATGATTATGCAAAACGTTTCAATGATATTGGTTATAAAGCTAAACCTGTAAGATGATTTTTAAAAATATATAAATATGAAATATCTATTTGTATGATTAGGAACAAATTATTTGTACGGCATGGCTTACTGCTCAACATTTAAAATCAATTAATTTTAAAGGAAAATGTTATGTACTTGGAATGCAATCAATGAAAGATGAATTAGAACGAGAAGGTTTTCAAATTTGTGGTGGTATTGGTGTAAGTATTCAAATTAATAATAAGAAGAAAAGTTATTTTTCTTTTATGATTTAGCCTGATCCTTTACCTTCCGATAGCAATGCAGTCACAGTAGATACACTTGAATTAGAAAAAGATGTTTGTATTTATTAAACTTAATGTTCATTTTGATATTTTGTTCTTCATTATATATATATGAATGTATAGGTTGATTGTGTGATATCAGCTTTTGACTTACATATAAGCTATATTAAAATTCTTAAAGCAGCAACTTATCTTAATCGACCAAACATCTTGTTCATAGCAACAAATGATGATGCAAGTCATCCACAAAATGATGAAATAGTTAAGCCCGGTAATTATAATGCAAAATAAAATATTATAAATTTAATTAGTGAGTTTTAGGTACTGGTTCAATTTTGGCTTCTGTTGCAATAGCTTCATGTCGTTCACCTATAATACTTGGTAAACCACATGCACCAATGTTTGATGCTATTCGTTTAGCATTCCCAGATGTTGATCCTAAACGAACAGTAATGATTGGTGATCAGTATGATTTAAACTACCGACATAAACACTTTGTTTATCATTCATTTTTAGAGTTGAAACTGATATTGCTTTTGGCAATCGACAAGGTACAACAACATTACTTGTATTTAGTAGAGCAACAAGGGAGAAATATTTGAATACTCTTAAACAACAAGTAGAAAAACATACAGCTGAACGAGATCTTTTACCTCATTTTTGTGTCAAAGATGTCGAACAATTTTTACAATTTCTTAAATCAAATGAAAGCAACACATTATTATAAGCTTTATTTTATTTGATATTTACCAACATAGGTTAAAAATAATAACACAGAAGAATAATCCATGGATAGTTTTATTTTCTAGTTTCTTGTTATTTGTTTTTCAAAGTTAATAAACTTTCATGAATACAATTGAATTCTTTTTTTTTGATTTCACAAAAACGAAATTTCACTTATTCTTGAGAGGCTAGCAGGATCTGTTTTTTTAATGGAAATGTTTTAGGTATGAATATATTTCAGCACACCAATACTTTGCATGTCTTGAGAAACTATAGAGAAATTATTGGAAAGTTCTAATAAATCTCGATAAAATTAATAATTCCTGCTAGAGTCTGCTGATATTTACATCTCCAGAAAATTATACATGACTCTTCGATATATTTCGAATATGCCAAAAGATGAATGAGTCTAAAAAAATCGTGCTTTCTAAGGAGATAACGATCATAGTTGATAGAGCGATTTAATATGAGCCGTTTATCATGTCGAAACGAGGAGTGGCACTTTAACTTTAAACTTTACAGATTAAAGTAGTTAAAATTTAAAGTCCCACTTTAAACTTTAAAAGTTAAAGATTAAAGTACTAGTTTAAACTTTAACTTTTAAAGTTTAAAGTACTACTTTAACTTTAAAAGTTAAAGTTTAACCCTTTCCGGACGGTGGTATAACGGTTATACCACCTAGTTTTCCGTTGGGAAAAATATTTCATTTACACTTAAGTATTAAAACTTAGTATACATACAGGCCATCGAGTGCACTAACTGTCATGTTATACATATCTTTTCTTGATGCTGTACGTATTCTTCTCAGACATTTGTTTTTCTTTCTATGATTGTACAATGAGGGTGTGGGTGTGAGTGTGGGTGTGGGTGTGAGTGGGTGTGGGTGTGGGTGTGGGCGTGGGTATAGTTAGAACTACATTCCCAAACTCCATACCCACACCATCCACATCCACACCCACTCACACCCACACCCACACCCACACCCACACCCACACCCACCCCCACACCCCACCCCCACACTCACACCCACCCACACTAACACCCACACCCAGATCCACACCCACACTCACACCCACTCACATCAACACCCACACCCACTCATACCCTCTAGTGACCTCTTTTTCCTATGCTTTCACTATGAAGAGAATAAAACGATAGAGATGGAACAATGACCACTTTGTTTCTACTTGGATATATATATATACAGGGAATATGCAGTTATGAATCATATCGAAATTCGTTGACAGTATATTAATCTTTCGTGCTTATATACATTAACAGCAATTAACAATTAGAAACATTATGGCTGCCGGCGACAATGATTCAGCATCTGCAGCAGTAATGCACCTACAATTACAAATTAAACAAGAAGAAACAACAAAAGCACAAGTAATAGCAAACGCTAAGCTGGAAGAAGCAAAAATAAAAGCAAACGCCAAAGTACAAATAGCACAAATAAAAGCACATGCCAAAGTACAAACAGCACAAATAAAAGCAGAGCTTGCAATGAAAAAAGGAAAAAACACAGATGAAATCGAAGGATCAACGCCAATGAATATTCTATATGGACAATCATCATCAAGCAAAAAAAGATTGAACGCAGTAATGCATAATCGTGGTTTTTACGATATTCATGTACGTGATAATGCTCAACTGCTTGATATAAAATCTTTATTAAATGATAATAATAAGATTAATGATGATATGATGAATGCTCTTGAAAAGTGTTTTGATCCTTTGAAATTATGTGATAAAAAATTAGAAAGCTCAATTCAAGGTGCATTTGGTAGTTCACTTAATAATGTATTTAATGAACTTAGTGCTTTAACATCATTGAAATATTTAAACACATCACATTGTAATTATTTAGAAGAAAAAGCTCCTGATTGTAGTTTTATATTGAAAAATATTAATATCGACAAGAATAACCAACGGGCAATTTTAAAAGATTTTATTGTTTGTCTTGGTGAATTAAAGAGATTTGATGCAAATATTGTCAAGGAAGATCCAATTGGACAAATATCGCGTTATCTATATTATATATTAGATGAACAAAATCGTGAAAAAGTCTATGGATTTTTGACAAATGCAGAACAAATTATACAGGTTGGTTGAAAAGTTTTGAAAGCGACACCTATTAACCAGTAGAGGAATCAAAATTTATACGCTATTTTAATATTTCATCTTCCATTGGAACACACAAAAAATTCTATTTTGATTGGTCAATTCATTCTGTGTTTACAAGCCATTTGAAGTTGACGTGTCAGTGTATTTTGTTACAATGGAAAAAACCGAATATCGTGCAGTGATAAAATTCTTTGTTTTGGAAGGTTTATCAGCAACAGAAATTCATACAAAAATGGTGAAAGTGTTAAAGGAATCTGCTCCTTCATTTCCAACTGTGCATCGATGGGTTTTAGACTTTAAACGTGGTCGTACAAGCGTTGAAGATGAACCACGTAGTGGACGTCCAAAAAGTGCAACAACACCAGAAATCATTGAGCAAGTCTATGATATTGTTTGTAAAGATCCAAGTTTAACTAAGCGTGAAATTGCTGATACCATAGGCATCTCAGATGAACGAGTACTCCATATTTTACACGAAGAATTACATATGAAAAAGCTGCTCGGAAAGTTAGTGCCGCATTCGTTAACAATTCAACAAAAACTGAATCGAAAACAAATTTCTCACCGTAATTTGGAGCGTTTTAAGCAGAATAAAACCGATTTTGTGCGTCGTTTTATAACTATGGATGAGACTTGGATCTACCATCATGATCCTAAACTGAAACAAGAACGTTTACAGTGGATTGAAGCTGGTTCTTCAGCTCCAAAACAGGTGAAGTCAGAACGATCGGCAAAAAAGGTTATGGCATCAGTTTTTTGGGATGCAAAAGGGGTTTTGTTGATTGATTATCTTGAAAAAGGTAAAACAATTAACTCTGAATATTATTGCAACCTTTTGGACCAGTTGGATAAAAAAATTGGTGAAAAAAGACCCGGTTTACAGAAGAAAACAATCATTTTTCATCAAGACAATGCACGTGTTCACACAAGTTTTTTGACGATGGTTAAATTGAACGAATTAAAGTACGAATTGCTTGAACACCCACCGTATTCACCAGATTTGGCTCCCTCCGACTATTACCTCTTCAGAAACTTGAAACAATTCCTTCGTGGAAAGCGTTTTTCGTCGAATGAAGAAGCTATTGCAGCCGTGGAACAGTATTTTGCAGAGCTTCCGGAAAATCATTACAGAGATGGTATAAAATTATTGGAGGATCATTGGAATAAGTGTGTTCAAGTTGAGGGAGATTATATTGAATAAAAAAACTGATTTCATTAAAAAAATACACATTCTTTCATTTTTGCTTTCAAAACTTTTCAACCAACCTGTATTTTATTGTCTTCAAAAGAAACCATTGTCAGATATATATGATTATTATGAAAGTAACCCATTAGAATTTTTTACTGGCTTGCCTAAAACATCATCTGTTCCTGCAAAAAAGAAACAAAAAACGTCGAATGAAATTTGTTTAAACATTGATACATTGAAAATATTTATAAAATTCTTAACAATGGATTGGGAGTTTTATGGCTACACAATGTTAAATATAACTCCTAATGATCGTTTATGTGACGATACATTTAACATAGAATCAAAAGCAGGAAGCGGTTTAACTTCAATAGTTTATGTTTTAAACCAAAATAATGCAAATGTCAATAATGATACGAAGCGCTATGTAATAAAAATCTCGACAAACGATGAATATTCAGATTATTTTAAAAATGAAGTTAAAATGTTAGAACCATTGAAACAATCACAGGATTCGATTAATTTCAAAAAATATTTTGAAAATATTTTTGCATCATCGCCTACAGGTAAATTTTGATGATTAAAATTTAAAAGAAGATTTTCAATCCATTGAAAATCTATTGAAAAAAAAATAGAAAATTTCGTTTTTGCTTTGTGAAGTGTTTAAAGAAATATAATGAAACAGAAGATTTAGTGAGAAGCTAATATGAAAGAAATCGTAGGTTTTCAAAAGATTTTGTTTCAATGAGAGTTGGAAGAAAAAAGAGTTCCTCATCATAATAAATGAAGAACTCGAAGATTGATTTTCTGTTAAGAGAATAATTCGAGTAAAATAATTTATTTTTTCTCTGTTGATTAGATATGAAATAAAATAGAAGAAAAATTTTAAATTGTTGAAAATTAATCTATGATCAATTTCTTTTTATCCGCTTGTTTTTGAGATTTCTATAGTTAATAAAAAAGGAATACAAAACTATATAAGTTTATATTTTTCTGTATTTATGTAAATATAAAATTTGAAATCAGAAGATTTTAATGCAAAATTTAATTTAATATAAATATTTAAACTTTTTGGTTTTTGATGATTATATATGTATATACATAGATGATTGTCTCGAAATTCAATAGATACGAAAAAAAAGAACTTGAATATTTTCTGTGACTTTTTAATTAGATGAGTAGATTTTTGTTTCTAAGGTTAGAGAGCAGATCTAAGTTTTTATTCATGAAAGGACATATCATTCATATATATAAATCTAGCTAATTGTTTTTTACTATATAACTAGTCAACTTTAAGACTAGAATGTATTTACCATCTGTAAATAGTTGTATGATTGTTATTCCGTATTAAAAAAAATAGGTCACTTGCTATGGCCGCCAATCATTGTTTAACTTTGGTTTTCTTGAAAAATGAAGGATGATTTCTCTGATAACTATCAGTCATACTACTTGATAAATCAATAAAATAATATCTTACAACTTTTTTAGGTTTAGAGTCATGAGAAAAAATACTCCAATATGGCACTTTAGTTATTTTCAGTGCATTGAAATAAAAAATTTATAATGAAAGAAAATTTATAAACGTTCCTTAAGCAATTTAAATTTCGGAATTAGTTTTACGAATAAATTCCAATATTCACACAAATCGGAATAAGGAGTTAGGCGAGAGATCTAAAATTGCAAATGAATAGATATGGAGTTATCGTTGGATTTAGAGCGTTAAGAAAATATTTCGAAAGTTCGATTCATAATTATGGAATTAAGAATACGTTTAAGTGAATAGATTTAGAAGTTTAAATTCAGTAATATGGATTAAGGATAGGTTGAAGAATAGGTGATTAAAGAATACATTAAATGGTAAAGATTGAAGAATGAATGTTGCAGATAGATTTTGGAGAAGGTACAGATTAGAAATGTACTGGATGGAAACCAAAAATTATAGTTGACATGGACCGAGACTGAAAAAATAAAAAATATTAACTCTCGCAAATATTTGTCATTGACAAGAAAAATAAGCAAGTACCAACTCCTACAAATTATTCAAGATTGAAAACCAACAGATTCTACTAGTTTCTCTAAATGCGGACAATTAACAGAAAAATTAGGAGTATCATTTTCCGGTTACTTAATTTCAAATGTAATTTCTTTCAAATTTCAGAAATTTTAGTTTAAAATGAACTTGAATCTGTTAAACTCGAATTAACAATGAATAAATATTCATGAAATTTGGTTTTTATGTTAAATTGAAATTTTTCAAGGGGTTTTTCTGGACTTAGTAATTGTTTTTTAATTGTAAATTAATCATCTCTAAGAAAAACTTAAGTCAGAGAGACTAGAACTAGAACGAAAAAGAAACAAATTTTAATGGAATTGGGTCAGGAGCGGAAAAGATCTGCCGGTGCTGGGACCGGAATCGCGACCGAAAAAAATTCATGGGATCGGAACTGAAACAAGTTGGTCTCGTCTATTTCTACTAAGGATAGATGTAAAACATTAGGGATGTTTATTGCGAGTATGAGACTGGTATAGAATAAATAAGATAGAATTTTATTTAAAAAAAAACAAAAAAGGCTGGTTATAAGGCTAAGTAGATAGAAATAGACACGTTACATAGTAGGAACGTATCTGATAGTTAGAGTGATGTATGAATATAATAGTAGAATATTGAATCTAGTGAAAAACAAAATCATACTGCAGAACCTTTTTATTCGAAATGAAAATAGCTATCTTCATCGAACCTTGTTTTTCTTTCAATGTAGATATAATTGTAAACTACAGAGTCGAAATGAATCAAATTTAGAAATTAATTAAAACAAAATGTAAATGATAAAACTTATATTTAAATTTTCTTGAAGAAACTTCATTCGAATCTTCCTCGCATATCGTTAAGATTTGAAACGTATTTATCAGTTATCTAAGTAGTGCGAAAGTTTTGAATAAACATTAAGATAGATAAAATGATCGAAGAGACATTATTTCAAAGTACAAGTAAACGTACAAAGTACAAGGTTTTTGTATTTGATCATCAATAGAAAAGTATTTGTCTCTAAATTGAAGTATAGGTATAAAATACTTTTTCCAAATTACAAGCATAGGTACGAAGTGCATTTGATCAATAGTTGATTTTTGTACTTTTGAAAAAGTATGAAAAATACCATTACGAATACTTTCGTACGAATTCTGATTTAAACAAGTGAACTGTTAATGTTCTCAATATGTTTAAGATTTCAGATTGAGTTTTAATAGTATATTTATTAGAGATGGGCGAGTCAGTCAAGTCAAAGTCTGAGTTTACGTGATAAAACGCTTTTTTAATCTTCTAGAGAGTGAAATGTTTTGAACTCTTAACGAAGATAAGTGTTACTGGATGATTTCGATTGAGCATTTTTGATTATTGCTATTTGTTAATTTGATACTACAATTTTATAGCAGCTGACCAACTTTAAGCAATAGAATGCCTGATGTTTTCTATCAATTCTACATGTTCATTATTTTGTTGTTTTTCTCTGAACCATTTCATTGACTTGACTTGCTCAGCTCTGTTTCCTTCGAGTTAAGTTACTTGGAGAAAAAAAAATATTCAGGTACCGCTTGACTTGATTTGTGACTTGAAATACCTTGGACTTGCCCAACGCTGATATTTATTATGAATAAAGTCGAAATAAATTGTTTTTTTTTCCAAGAAAACTTCCATGATTGTTGAGAATGAATAGAAATTCAGTGATGTACAAGAATTTTTTATAACGACTATTTAATATAAAATAGTTTTTTTGTTTTTTTTATAGAAAATGTCGGAATTATAAAAAATAAAAGTTTGAGATAGATGAAACAAAAGAATTGACAAATCTAAATAGAAAAATTCTCAAATGGCGAGTAGTAATAAATAGACATGATCAAGTCGAAAATCGGTGAAAATGATGAATTTTTATTTTCAATAAACTGTCAAGTTGTTGTTTAATATAAAAAAAAAGAAGACTTTTATTCAAGTTTAATTTTTCTAATATTGATCATGTTTTTTTTAATGTAATTTCTTAAATTTTTAATACTTTCTCGGATATGATTTCTTATTTAACTTAAGTGCATTGTTAATTTTTAAATGTTATTAATTGCCAATTAAGATTTAGATCAAATTTTGCAGTAGTTACTTCATGATGGGTCATAATCTTTATTTGTATTTGAATATATTACATAGAAAATTATTCGCGGCATTAATGAAGAAATAAGTTGAATCCTTGTTATTAAAATATTTGTATAAATATTCAGTTTTAAATTATATTTATTACATTAGCTTTCGCCTAAACCAAATATTGTAATAAAGTATTTTACGATGTTATTATATATTAGTTTAGAATGAAAAATTAATAAACAAAACAAATGATTTAAGTCTATTTCTTATTGATAAAATGAATTCTATTTGAATTTATATCTGATTGAGTATAAATTTGCGATTAGAAGAATTTCATATCGAAAATCTTTATTTCACGATCATTCAAATACTATTTTATTTTAAAAATAATTTGTTTATTTTTTTTTCAGGTAATTTTATAATATTTGAAAATTACTTGACACGTTTGACATCATTAACATTAATTCAGTCACAACAACTTATTAATATCATTGAATATTTATATAATTGTTGTATTATTCATCGTGATTTACGTCCAGATAATTTGATGTTAGATTATAGTGAACAACATTTAAAATTAATTGATTTTGGTTTTGCTACAACTTATAAAATCGATGAAATGCCAAAGTCAATGCCTATTGAAGGAGCAATTTCATATGCTGGCTTAAAATTTTTAGATTATTATTTCGGATTACTATCGAATTGTTCAGATAATTTCTTGTATAATTATGAACGAACGTTTGATCTACAATGTGCAATAAATATCATGATGTATATGTCAGATGATAATATTAAAGATAGAATGATATCAATTAAAAAAGAGTTGTCTGTTAAAGCACGAGTATTAAGATTACATCATGTATGGCGTGATATGAAACATAGCAATGATAATTATTCTGAATTATTAAAGTTAATTAATTCTTTAACAGAACCACCAAATTTTGATGCCATCAAACGTGAAATAGGAAAACGTCTAGTATTTAAAAATTAAGATGATCTTTATAATCACATGTATGGTCATGTTACTGATAAAAACTTATAAATAATTTGGTAGTTGAGATTTTTTTCTGTTATTTTTCTGATATTGTGTTTCTTTGTTTATTTTTTTTGCATTTTACGTTCATGTTCATATAATAAATATTATTTACAAAGAAATAAAGTTGACTTATTTGATTTATTATTTAATCTATTTTTGAATTAAGGGATCATAATGATTTATTTATATACCGATGAGATGCTCCTCTTTTGAACATTAAAATACTCAACATCAGTGTCGAGATAAAAAGAAACAAAAAAAAGTTTTAAGATTCAAGAATTGATATTGTCGAAATGAATCTTTTTTGGAAAAGACGAACAGATCTGACTATGATATTTGATATTCAATATTCATATTTATTTGATTTTTCTTCGATTCAGAAAATTCGATAAATAAATTTTCCAAATTTTAGTTAAAAATGACGTTGTTCACTTCGAATAGTGGAGATGAATAAGAGAGTACAATTTTCTAAATTTAAAACTAAGTCGTATGTTATAAAAGGATGAAAGTAAACAATATTACTGTATCGCAATGAACACATTTCATCAATGGACTAAAACAATTTTGTGTTTGGGTAACGTGAAGACAAAATATTTAAAAACGAAGTGGTTTTAACTTATTCTTTATAGTAATAAGTAGAAGAAATTGAAGAATAGATTTTATTACGAGCCAGTTCGCATAAGTCACAACCGATTCCCTCAAAGGCTGCTCAATCGATAGTCTTCATTCGCCTCGTTTTTTCTTGGATGATAGAGGCAATTCTTTCATGAATTTCTACACAAGCCGTTTTAAAAAATTTTGTTCCGTTCTTGAGATATTGAAGCTTTCTGAGAGCACCCTCATGAAAAAATGACAATTTTTGCCATTTTTTCTGAGATCGATATCTCTTCAAGGAAACACCTATTTCACTTGAAATTTTTACTGTATGTTTATCTCTAGGTGAGGTATTTTTTTTATTAATTTAAACTAGAATGGATGAATCATTGATGGGTTGGACTAGAGTACTAGATCCATTGAAAAAATTGCGTTTTTCTGCATTCTGTTCATATACATATTAATTGAATGAATAATGCCAGATAGCTAAAATTTTAACCACAGAGAGATCTCATTGAATAGTAACTATGTTGCAAATTTCAGCTCTCCAGCTAGTTCCATTAGCCCAGGGTACTATTCTCAAAATTGCAATTTTGATCAAAATCACGATTTTTTCGGAGGTCTATCTAGAGCAAAATCAAGTCTATAGAGGGCTGGTATTTATAGATTCAAACAACACTCTTATTACTATAAAGCCATACAAGAATCAGGATGGGACACTATAGAATACAGCGCAGGGACTTATTGAAAGATGAGTCATAAATTGGGCTCCTGATTCTCATATAAAATAATCATAATAATTCACAAATTGATGAAAAATTTATCCTATAGACAATTTTTCACGTAGAATCTGATGGTAATATTCTTTCGATTATTATCGTAAGTTTTAGCCATGTTTCGCCCCATCCCTCTCTCACCATCCGTCAAGACGTGAAAGTGATATTTTCCAATTTTTAACCATATATAATGTCGTCTATGATATTTTTGAAGAGAATGAAAATTTATACAATTGTTAACAGTGAGTAAGATAAACAGTTTCAATTCATCATTTTGATTATATTGTTTACTCATACTACCATCTCACTCTGATCAATTCTTTCAAAATGGCATATAATTAATCATTCATCTACAACTTATCCTTGTTCATGTCTGTGAGAATTTTCTTCTTGTCGTTAGACAAATATGTGTAAAGTGAAATGCATATTCACCAAATAATTCAAATAATTAATAACTTTATGAGTATGGCTCATTGATTGAAAGAGAAGCGAGGTTGGAAAGAAAAAAAAGGATGGTTAAAGGGTGTGGGTGTGAGTGTGGGTGGGTGTGGGTGGGTGTGGGTGTGGGTGGG